CACGTGCCCTCTGGCAATAAAAATGAATAAATACATACATGAGTAAAATCTCTTTTTAGAGCCTACTTTTAAAAAATTTTATTTAACTTTATTTATTTATTTATATTTGACCAGAGCGGGATGGAGTGACACACACAGAGAGGGAAAGTGAGAAGGTGAGCTGCCAGGTCTGGGACTCGAACTACAGTCAGCCATTTAGGAGTCCAGCGCCCTTAACCACCACACCACCTGCTAGCCCCTAGAGCCTACTAGTTTTTACAAAAATACCCTAACGTTCAAGTTATTAGAATTACCTTGCTTCTTTTCCATGATCACCAATAACTCTGTCATCACGACCAAGATTTCTAGAAGAAATTCGATCCAATTCCATCATTATTTCCTTATTCAAACCTTCCAGCCCATGCTTCTGAAAGCGGACACGATGCCGAGAATAACCTGCAAGTTGCTCATCTGCACCAATTCCAGTGAGAATTACCTGTAAAATTGTAAAGAAACGCATATAAGAATGTTATCTACTACACATTAAATAACTAAGATAAATGCATGAAAAGTTGCAACACTAAAGGTGACAAAAACTACATGACAAAGTCATGTAAAATGGTAAAATATGCCCAATTTTAAGTAGTCATGTAGTTGTAGTTAAATACAAGATAGACTGTATTTGTGTAACCTACATGTTAAAAACTTTAAGGGTCAAAATTAGTCTTAGTTCTTATCAAGATTGGCCCCATAGTATAGTAGTTAAGTGCATAGAAAGCTGGATCCCACATGGCTGATTGTGATTTTAATCCTGCCCCAGTGGCTTCAAAAATGCACCAGGTACCCCACGGGGGGAGGTTGTTTTCTCTCTCTGGCGAGTGAGCATACCCATTAGCAATAAAACGTTTTTATGAGCAGAAATACTATGCTATACCTTTGCATTACTCTTATAGGATTTCACTTCACCCGGAGTCACTAACCAACCAATTCCTCTGGAAGCAAACCAAACTGCACAGCCAATGCTATCATCCAAAACCGTATCCAAGGGCTGAACTAGGTGACATATACGAGTTCTTCTTAATTTCTGCAGTTCTTCCAGAGAAACATTAATTTCAACAAAATTCCAAGTTCGAGAAGGGTTAAGAGCTTGTAGTTCCTTTAGTCCTGCTCTTCCTGTGATTCGATCTGGAACACTGAATAGTTTATCATCATCAGCAGTAAGACATTTAGAGGATTCCTCAGAAGGGATTTCACAATGATTTTTCTGTTTACTCCTTTTTTTGTTAAGGTTAGCTGGCACAGTCTGTTCTTTAGTCCTGAAAGCTACATTAAGAAGATCAATGGGTTCATCTACCGGAATATGACGGTCAGCCAGGGCTGCAATAACCATGGAATCAATGCCCCCAGAAAACAGGATTGCAACGCTTGCCATCCTACAACCAGGTTTCAAAGCTTCCTTTGGTGCCAGGTTTTCATCTCTAGGCAAACACAAGACACGTCTCTTGACTGCAATACTCAGGACCTCGATGAACTGCTGAATTACTTCCTTTGTGTGTCTATCGGAAAGAAAGATCTGAAGTGTTTCTCTCCTAGGCAGGTCACTGGAAATGTTACTGCACTGCGTCTCCAGTGGAGCTTGGGGCAAGATCATATTTAAAGGACCAACAGGCTTTTCAAGGTATAGTTTGGCCTCATTTATTGTCACTGATACAAAAGTTGGTAAGTCTGCTGAAATTTGAGTCAGGTTATTAACAGAGTCTTCAATAACATTCTCACTAGAAATATACTTCCAAGGATACAATTTTAAAACCATACGTCTAGAAATGGCAGTAGACTTGAGATCAACTTTGAAAATCCCAGATGCTGGAACTTCCTGCCACTGATTTGCTTCTCCAGATGTTTGGGAGCCAACCGAAGAGAGGCAGAAACTTTTGCCCAAATTATTAAAATGCCAAAGCAAGCTACGGCGACCAAAAAAATCCCGGCCAAACCATAAATAATGACTAGATGCCTGATAATATATAAAAGACCAAGGACCTTGAACTTCTGAGAAGACTGACAGAACATCAGATTCATTCTTACAAGAGGAAAGGTAATTAAACATAATTTGAGTGTCATTCTCTTCAGCTTCAACCTTTATTCCATTAAAGACTTCACCATTCCACAGGAACACATTGCCTCTTTCATCTTCCACAGGCTGGGCAGTCAAAAAACCTCGCAGGTGAAGGACGTGAGCAGAAAATAAACACTGGTAGTTAACATCAGACTTTAACAACTGCTTACTACTATCAGGTCCCCGTCTTTTAAGATTACACAGTAAATCCTTTTCCAAATCTTCCCTGAAATGCTCCAGAGAAAAGCTTACGGAACAACAGATGCCACACATTGTTATGTGAATTCATGTGAACTACTTCTTGATTTTGGTCTTCTCTGAGTTTTCTATCTCTTGGTATTCTTTTTTCAGTTCATCTAATACATCTATGAAAGGGAAGAAAAGAAATACTAAATAAAAATTCTTAGACTTTTACTTAGTAATTCATAAGGTAACATGGGCTATTTGTCAAGGGCAAACCATGAATGTACACACACCATACTAGTGCCAATAATAATTTACAACAGGCCAGTAATAAAGAATATCATCTTTTAGAAAAATAGTTTACAGAGTGCTTGTTTTGGCCCAGGCATTTAGCTGAACACGTCATATACTACTTTATTTAAATTCTACAAGACCTTGGAGGTTCAAACTATTTCTCCAAGGTCACAAAGGCAGAAAGTAGAAAAAATGCTTTTTCATACCTAGATCTGTCTGAAACTCTTAAGCACATTAATAACTACTGTTTTCTAACACATCTTATTTCTTTTTTTTTTTTAAAGAAACATTTATTTATACTATAGAGAGCGTGTGCTCGCCAAAGAGACAGAGACAGAAAGTGGGAAATCACACTCAGGGGGATGGCCACAATGTAATCCCTTCTCTTCCAGTCTCTTGGGATTTTGGACACACATGCACATATGCCTGGCGTGAGTTTTAAGCCACCAAGTCCAGGATTCGAACTGTGGCCGGCCGTGTAGGATTCCAGCAATATAGCCATTATGCCATTTACTGGTGCCATTATGATTTTTTTTTTAAACTGTAGACTCACATTTGGAAAGCTATCTTGATAAAAACCAGGCCCCACTGCTGTGCTGCAGTAGTAATACAAGTGCCCAGATAAGGCTGGAAATGATATGGTGATCACCATGGGTTCAGATCCCCTAGTAGGCCTGAGACCATGCTGGGCACACAGGCTCAGGTGCCCTGGATCCTGAGGAGCTGCAGGCAGGGGAAAGTGGCGTGCACTGCAGCATGACGAGCTCCTGTAAGGACACTTCTCTTTCTCCTCCATACATGTACAAGTGCTCTCTCATGTAAAAGAAAGAAAGTCAGACCACTGTGTTCATTGATAGATATATATTTAAAATTCAAATACTGATAGTATCATTTAGGCACCATTATGAGTTTTCACAAAAAGCCTACCAAGTACCTTTTGTGCCTTTCTATATAAGACACCAAAAAGCCAACCAACCAAAAGAACTTACTTTTGCTTTCAGAAAGCAGTTCTGCTCGGTCTGCAAGAAAGAATATATTGCTGTTCTGTTGTTGCTTATATACTCTCTGCAAAACATAATGTAGGTTAATATCAAGACTTGATTTAAAAAGTAACAGATGTCAAAGTCTTTAATCCTATATTCTTGAACTTTAGGGATGTTATGTTCACAATAACACTTGAGCGAATTTGGGTAAACAGGAAAACGAGTAAGTCTCCCATTATCCTATCACTAAGAAACTCAGAAACACTGAGGTGAAGCACTGTTTTCTCAGTATATACCAAAACACCATTATTCTTTTAACAAAAAACGTTTTCACTATACACATTTGTAATTTGCTTTTATTAATGATCACTATATTGAGAACACTTTTTCTTATCAATAAGTGTTCTTCTACAACATTACAGTATAGGTATACCTATACATAGCATATTTGTTCAGTACTCAAACTGCAGACATTTACGGTGCTATGAACTCTTTATCATTATAAATCAATGTTGTGATGGACAAATTTATCACTAAATTTTTGTTCACTCCCATGATTTTTTAAGTTTTAATTATTATATATTGAACTGCTCAAATAATCTTTTAAATGCTTTAAAGAGTTCAAAAGAATTTCTTCTTCAACTTTAAAATGTAATTTTGGATGGTATAAATACTCATGAAGCAGTTACTTGGTTGTTTATGAACACACTAATGAAAGAGGCATTAAATTACCATGTTAAGTATTTTGATTTTTGTAAAAAAAATTTTTCTCGTTTTTTTGGAGAGTTTTTTTTTTTTTTTTTGCTCTAGGGTTCGTGCATTCGCCAGAAAGAGAGAGAGAGACAGAAAGTGAGAAATCACCCCCCACGGGGGATGGCCACACCATAATCCCTTCTTCTCCATTCTGCTCTAGGGATCTTGGGCGCGCAAGCGCACGGTGTAAGTTTAAGCCACTGAGTCTGGGACTCAAACCGTGATTGACTACATGGGAGTCCAGCGACGTGGCCTTTACGCTATCTGCTGGTCCCTGTAAAAATTTTATTAGGGCGAGAAGAGAAGTAGTTTATATAGTCTTTTTTCCAACAATCACACATATTCTTCTTTTATCTTTAAAAATATTATTGTATTTACTGTTATTTACTTATTTATTTTAATTTGACCAGAGAGGGACAGAGTGAGTGAGTGAGTGAGTGAGAGAGAGAGAGAGAGAGAGATAAAGTGCGAAAGCAAGCTGCCAGGTCCAGGACCGCGGTCAGCCACACGGGAGTCTAGCGTCCTTAACTACCACACCACCTGCCAGTCCCCAGTCATCCATATTCATTTAAAGAAACAGTTTCCTTTCTTCTTTATATAAAGTTAATTTATTTTAAAAGATAAAAACCAAATTAAAATATAAATATTTTAGTGATTACACATCTAAATTACCAAAGTACAATCAGTATAATCTGTACCAAAAGAAATTTGACTGATACATGAGAGGCTAATATCAAGACTTGATTTTAAAAGTAACAGATGTCAAAGCCTTTAATCCTATATTCTTGAACTTCAGGGATGTTATGTTCACAATCATACTTGAGCAAATTTGGGTAAACAGGAAAACGAGTAAATCTCTCATTTTCCTATTACTAAGAAACTCTCAGAAACACTGAGGTGAAACACTGATATTAAAGACAACTTAAACTATCTCTGTCTACTTACCTACCTATCCAGATTAAAAAAAACCAAAAATCAAAAAACCTGCACAGTTCACTTCTGCAATTTAACTAAAAAGATGCTGAAATAGTGTACATTTTAACGTAAGTATGACATAAACTTTAAATATAAGTCTTTCAGCTTTAACATATAGCTAATATAAGTAACCAAACCTCTCACATGCTATTCAGAATTTCTCTAATAACTTACCCTATTCTTCTTCAGGTTGGAAAGCTCATCCACAACAATTTTTTGTTCTTTAATCTATTGAAATAAAAAACAACCTCTTCAATCACAGGTTTTGAAAGATGTTCAAGAAAAGTCCCTTAAGTGATTACTTAAAACTTAGAGAGATGAGATAAGGGGCTATTATGTACAAATAATTTGGTTATTTGTCCCAAACATGCAGTCAGTGAACATACAGATTATTTCCAACAGCTTTCTTCTGTGTGGAGGAACAGGTGTCAAGAAGTTGGAGGTGGAAACAGTGATCGGACTTACGAAGTCTGAGGTGACTCACTGAACCCACAGAGGGATCTGATCTGGTCTCGGTAATAAGCATTCATCCCAAGGGCTACAGTTACTAAACAAGATTTAAAACTTTCATTAAAAAGACAATATGCACCGAAAGTAATGTGCTTTTCAAGGGATTCTTTCAAGTTGTTCTTGAAAAAGGAAAAGCAAATGGAATGAAGGTGGTGTACTGTTTTCTCTTTTCTACAATTATTTATTTAATATATATTTATTTATTATTATTTTTAACGAGAGAAAGAGAAAGTGAGAAAGCAAGCTGCCAGGCTTGGGACTCGAACCACAGTTAACCATGTGGCAGTCCAGTGCTTTAACCATCATGCCACCTGCTGACTCCATGTTTCCAATGACCAGAGTTTTTCTAGATCTATATACTAAATGGCGCAGCCAGACAGATTAAGCAATTGGTACTAAATGCCCTATTCTGGACAGTTAAGATCTATCACTTTGCACATTTGCATTCTTCCTCTTTGCACCTCAAAGACTAGCACAGTGCTGGTGATCCTGAATAAAGCTTCATTTTTTTTATTGGTAAGAGAGGACTTTTTAACTCTGTGCAGTAACTATAATTTTGGGAACGTGGCTGACCACATCGTGTCAATAGTGCCTCTAAAAGTAAGTTTATAATCTGTGTACACAGAGAAATGTGTGGAGCATAAATGCCCTGCTATGATAATAATCAGAGTGGGCTGTGTAGATCTTGAAAATTCACCTCCCTAGACGCCATAGTATGCACCTTTCTGCCTCCCCAAATGACAGAGGTGTAATTATGGGCTAGATTAAGCTGAATTCCAAGGAGAAACTGTACAGCCACTTGAGACAAGTTTGTATAGTATTTTTCCAACTCATTTTAGGAGTGACAGGTATATATTCACTTGACATCGACGAAGGAAACTATGTTACAGAAAACTGATGAGAGAAATGCCCAAGATGTCACTGTTTACAATAGGACCAAAGTCAAATCTAGGACATTTTAGCACCTGAAAGCCTACCACCTGAAGTCGCCCAGTGCTATGCATAGAGAGCAAGGCAGCCGGGCTGAGCGATGCCGGGTCAGGCCGCCGTGCGTCCGGCGAACGGTGTCCGGGCTCGAGCAGCGCTCGGTCCCAAGCCCAGGGGCTTTGTCGCCGTGGTCCACACTCACCTTGCTGTGAAGATCCTCTCTGTGTGGGGTCGAGTCGTCGGTGGGTCCCCGCACAGCGCTGTCCTCCAAGCGCGCTCCCCGGCTCGGCATCTCCATTCAGCGTAAGACGCGAGGCCAGGCAGGCGCCGGAGCAGCCTCCAGCCCCAGCAGCCCACGCGGCAGGCTCCTTCCTCGCGACCCGCCAGCTCCCAGGAATCTTTCGATAGCGCCTGCGCGCTCATTAAACGCCTGCGCAGTCGCGTCCGGCCGCAGGAGTTGCGCGCGTGCGCACAGATGCTTAGGGCGCGTGTGAGCAGAGCCGGGTTGCGAAATCTGAGTTCTTAAACCGTCCCCTAGCGGATCGGAGGTCGAAACGCCCTTGTGGGCGCCATGCCCTTGCATTTAGTACATGACGAGTTATAAGCGCCCCCGAGTGGTAAATATAAGGAACAGGGCAGAAGAAATATTCGGTATTTGTTATTTAGGCAGACAGGAGACTGAGGCGCAGGTGACAATTTTAACGGAACAGACAGATCTGGTTAAGTTTTAAACCTGTGGTTCGGTTGCCAGATAAAGTACAGTGTTGAATATGGATTTCTGTATTGGAGGAGAGGTGACAGAATCCAATTTGTTCATCTTTTCCTTTCTTTTTTAAAAAAATTATTTTATTTAACTTTATTTATTTAAAATTGACCAGAGAGGGGGGAAGAGAGAGAGCGAGAAAGCCCCCCAGACCTAGGCCTCGAACCACCGTCGGCCATGTGGGAGTCCAGCGCCTGTAACCACCATGTCACCTGCTGGCCCTATCTTTTCCTTTCGTGGGCTCACACTAAGAATTTTGTGCATACTTGGAAGGAAAACAACTGTTTTAGATGTGAACTGGTGAGTTTTCCTGTTTCTGTGTTTACTTTGGACCTGAGATTGCAGTCATAAAACTGAAGGGAAAAGCTCTATATCTCTGTGTATCTGTAATTTAGAACAGGCTTTATGTCTCATTATCTGATAATGAAGTGTATTCCTACAACTGGAGGGTATTAATACATTACATTATAATGCATCTTAAATATATGGCCTCTATTCCAACTAGTTTATGGAATTAATCAAGCACTTGTATAAATCCTAAAATTTTTTAAAGCCCAGAATTTCTAATGCTTTAAATGCGCTAGACTTTTACTTAAAAAAAAAAAAGTCTTTACTAAAGAGTTAGCTTGGCCAACTCAATAGCCTAGTGGTTGAAGGATCTGGATCACACATGGCTGAACCTGCAGTTCGAATCCATGCCTGAGTGACTTGGGAAACAAGTTGGATATGCACCCAAAATACCAATGGAAAGGGGAAATGGAGGGTGCTTGCTCTTGTTTCTCTCTGGTGAGTGCCCTCTGTCAATCAAAATAAGCTGATCAACAAACAAAATACAGTTAGCTCTAACACATTTTAAGAATCCGAGTTTATGGGCATAGTGGTTAAGGTGACTGGATCCCACATGGTGGACTGTTTGGTTCACGTCCCAGACCTGGCAGCTCGAAAAACACTCAGGACAAATGAGCACGCATGCCCAAAATCCCGTGAGGGAAATAGAGACAGAATTGCAGTATTGCTCTTCCTCCTGGGAGGTGCTTTTTTGCTTTCTCTCTCCCTGTCTCTGTCTCTCTGTGGCGAGCACATGCACCCTACACCAAATTTAAAAAAATACACAAATTTATATAATTAAGATAAATCTTTGGAGAAATAGTCTATATTAATATATTCAATGAATGAGATGAGCTAAATGAAAAAAAACATATGTCTTTTCTGATTTATAAATGTTAAGTAATGTACAGATTTATTTTTATGGCATTTAGATTTGTTTTCTCATGAGGAAATTAACTAATTTGAATTTTCTAAGCTTTTTTTAAAAAGAATTATTTATTTTATTTATTCATTCATTTTTATTTTAATTTGACCAGAGAGAGACACAAAGAGAGAGAAAGAGGAAAAGTGAGAAAGCAAGCCACCAGGTCTGGGACTCAAACCACAGTCGGCCGTGTGGGAGTCCAGTGCCCTTAATCACCATGCCACCTGCTGGCCTTGCCCAGTGTGAGTTTTAAGCCACCAGATCCAGGACTCAAACCTTGATCAACTATGTGGGAGTCCAGTGACATAACCACTATGCCATCTGTTGGTCCCAACAAAAGCCACTAGGTCCGGGACTCGAACCATGATCAGCCATATGGGAGTCCAGCACCCTTAACCACCACACCCACCTGCCAGCCCCCAAATTTTCTAAGCTTAAATTGGTATACTCATTAAACAAGCTGTTAATACTGCTGCTTAATATCTAAGTTAATAAAAAATGTGAATTTGTGTTCATTAAAATGAAAAATTATTCAAATTACATTTTATCAACAGTAATTCTGCTTTGTACTATGTAAGTTTAAACATAATTCCAAAATTGTAGATAATTTAAGACCTTTAACGCTGAATTCCGTAAAGATTTATTTAGAGATTAAATTAGTGTATTTAGAAAGTTGAATACTGAAACACTGATAAATAAGCATAATTTTAAGTTTATATACTTTTGTTTCTTTTTTTACTCAATGATAGTGTACGTGAACACGCACATGTGAAAGAGAGAAAAACACCTTCCTCTGGGTCTTGTCACACATACCATGATCCCTTTTCCCCAGCCTTCCAGCTCCTCAGGATACTGGGCACTCACATACTATTCAGGTCTTCCCCAGGGATCTGAACCCACAGTCACCATATGCATTTCAGCCTTGCAGGGCTCTTATATTACCGCTGATTCACAGTGATTGGGCCATTGTCTCTTGTTTTTATATGCTGCAGAATGGTTATGCTTTCAGGTCATTTTAATGGATGTGTTCACTTTTGTCAGTTTCAGAAGGCATAAGAGGAATGTGTGTAACTGTAGATGATTGTGTTATGGATGGTTACCTATGAGCTTTATTAGTCTGTTAAATACTTGCATATTTTAGTTTTCAGTTGTCTATCTCCAATTTTATCTGTGAAGTAAAAATGATTAAGTTGGTTAAAAGTTCTAATTAATATGTGTGGTTTAGAACATATTAGGGGCAAGATTAACAGAGAGTGCAAGGAATGAGCCCTGTTCTGTAAGGAAAAAGAGTTCTAAAGTGCCCACCATGAAAAGCAAAACTTAAGGGAGTATAGCTACTTATAAAAGGTTTGATGAAAGTTAATTTTGTCTGCCTTGGTTTATGATATTTGACCCTGAATAGAAACTATGAAATACATTAGTATTTTGCAAAATACATTCAGTTTTAAAAATAAACATTGGAGTATTATTTCCTCATGTGTGTACACACACACACACACACATAATTTTGCTATAGGACATGTACACTCATGAGAAAGACAAAGAGACAGAAAGTGAGAATCACCCCCAGCGGGGTTGACCACACCACAGTCCCTTTTCCATTCTCCTCTTGGGATTTGGGGGATGCACACACACACATGCCTGGTGTTTCAAGTGTCTGGGTCCAAGACTTGAACCGTAGTCAGCCATGTGATAGTCCAGCAATGTAACCATTACGTCCTCTGCTGGTCCCTCAAGATAAGTATTTTTTAAAGATCTTTACTGCCATTTTCATTGCATTACATTGTCGTACATTACAGTGCATTAATGAAAAACTAAAATTTAGCTTTGTCTCGTTTAACCCACTTCTTGGTTCCACATTCCAAACCTAAAAATGTACCTCTGCAGACAAGTGGGATGTCATTTTAGCTAGTATTTAGAGGTGATGATGAGCCTTATCTGTAAGCTGAAAAGACTGAGCAGGCCAGCATAGTAGTCTTTGTATCCCGGTTTCTATTGCAGTGTGTTGCTGAGTGGGAGCTCTGGCTAATGTTTGAATTGACCCTTTGACTCAACATAGCCAGAAACCATGCTGATTATTCTACAGCTGTTCACTTCCTTTGGCAGCTGTGTAGTTGCTTATGCCTCTGCCTGGTTCTGATGTTTTTGTTTACATTCACGGGCCACCCAGATAGCACAATACTAAACAGTATGATAATTGTATTAGTACGGGCGCTGAACTGTTTTCAGAGTGCTTTCACACTATCTTTTCTTCATGTGTATCGTTGGCTTCTCCTTCCCCTCTCAGCTGTTGTAACTTCTGCATTGTTCAAGGTCACACATTAGAGTAAGTTTTCTCGACTGTTGTCTGGTTGGTTCAGGACTGCCCATTTCCGCCATATAACTAGCTAGGTGGTTCTTCTTTTGCTCATGAGACATTGCTGTTGTGTATCCTACTTCATAGGATGACTTTATGTTTAATCATGCTGTTTGGAGTGTTCCTCTGATGCTCCAGTCTGAATATATTTAATTTTGTTTGACAATACATAGTTCACTATTTTTAATTTAATTTTTTTTACATTTCTTAAATTTATATTTAGTCACTGCGCATCTTTACAGTGCACAAATTTTTTTTTCCACTATGGGTGCAGAGCCTATCAATCAAGTCACAAGATACTGCCATATACATCTTCCTCACTGGGTCACTTTTTCTCATATATCTGTTAAATGTTTTTATTCCCCAGTCCCTCCCTTCCACTCCCTGTTTCCCACCCTCTCCTATACTGTCTCTGGTATCTACAGTTGTCCTCCCTGATATGGGACCTTTCCATCTTTCAGGTTCTGCCATAGAATGTGGTCATTCAATATATATTGAGCAGGGATATACAATGTCTTGCTTCATTTAGCATTGGATCATACCTGTTCATCCACTTTATATCACATGTCAGCATCTTGTTTTTTTTTTTATGGCTGAGTAGTATATCATGTGTATATATGCCACATTTTTTCATTCCAGTCATCTGTTTTTGGGCATTTGGGCTGATTCCATGACTTAGCAATTGTGGCTAATGCTACAATAACCAACAATGTGCAAGTGTTTTTCTGACTGAGTGCTTTCCTCTCCTTTTGGTAAATACCTAGCAGTGGAATTACTGGGTTGTATGGTAGGTTTTTGAGGAATCTCCATATTTTCACAGCGGCTGCTCTAATTTACATTCCCACCAACGGTGTAGGTGTAGGAAGGTTCTCTTTTCTCTGAAGCCTCGCCTGCTCTTGTTGTTCTTTCTTTATTTAAAATATCTATTTATTTATTTCCTTAGCTATTTAATTTTTGTGATTTTTAAACTGGGTCTCCAACCATGGTAAGCTAGGTGAGAATCTAGCGCCTTTTAGCCATTCTGATTGGGGTTA